GCCTCACTGCTGTCTAACTCCCTCTCTGCCTCTGATGCAGAGCCCTCGTCTGAGCTTTCCTCAACCCCCAGGACTGGCCCATGTTCAACCCCAACCTCCTCACTGTCCGACTCTGCTGGCCACCGGCGGGCCACAATAATTCCTCAGCCAGCTGGTTGAGGAATTCTGAGAGTTGAAGTCCACAAATCTTAAAGTTGTCAAGGTTGGAGACCCCTGTTCTAAAGTATAAATGCTCTTTTCCCAACCGATGCGGATTAAACATCACTTGCAACTCATCTCCGTGGTAATTTCCGAGATCTGCATCCCCACTTTTTCTCCGCAAAAGAATTCGAGATGAAAAAAAAAAAAATGGGATCGGAAACAGTTTCCCAAGTGGACGCTGACTGAGACTCAACAATCTGCTTGGCATCATGGACTTTTGGACAACATCCTGAAGTCCAGAACAGATGCGAGAAGGTTCTGACTGCTTTACTTTGAGAATTTCCACTTACCTAAATGGGCCGCGGGGTTGAGAAAGTTGCTGTGGTGTGGGGGAGGGCCAAACGTCGGACCGGCTGGATGGGCGGCACCTAGCAAAACAAATTCAAAAGCAAGCAAACCAAAACATTTGAGTACAGCACTTGTAGAGTGACCACTGTATCCTAGGTTGGATTCAGGTTCAGCAGAGAGGCTGGGATGCTGGATTTCTATACATTGAATTCAGTGGCCTAAACATCCCCTTCCAATATTTCAATTCTAATATATCTGATTATCTCAAATGAGCATATGGACAACACAGGTGGTCCTCAACTTACCACCATTCACTTATTGACTTTTCCAAGTTACAACGGCACTAGAAAAAGTGACTTATGACTGTTTTTCCCACTTATGACCATTGCAGCAGCCCCGTGGTCACATGATCAAAATTCGGATGCTTGGCAACTGGTTCATATTTATAATAGTTGCAGGGCCTGGGGGTCATGTGATCACCTTTTGCAAACCTTCTGACAAGCAAAATTAATGAGGAAGTCAGATTAACTTAACAATGTGCTACTAACTTAACAGCTGCGGTGATTCGTTTAACCACTGTGGGAAGAAAGATTGTAAAATGGGGCAAAAGTTATTTAACGGTTGTCTAAAGACAAAAATTTTGGGCTTAATTGTGGTTGTTAAGTTGAGGACTACCTATACACGCATATTCCACCCCAACTACCCCCACGAAATTCTGATCAAAAGAAGAATGCATTAAATATAACAGCAAACCGGGTGAATGCGGGTCTTACTCTCAGGGTTCCAAGTAACACCCCAATGTTGGGTGAGTATGGGTGATATATAGTCAAAATAACATTCCTTTCTCGGAGAGTCAAACTTTCAGGTTCGGATTAATGTCAGGTTTCCAAGTAACACCCCCCAACAAAAGAAGACTCCGAGGCTTGAATTTCCCCAAAGTTCCATTTTATTAGAGATGTCATATTGGCACCTCTGGGAAAACCCGAATCTGAAAGCTTCCAGGTTTTCCCCACCCAAATGAAAGTTCAAGCACCCACATGCCCGTCATATGGCCCAATCAGGCACCATCCAAAACTGGAGATGCCTCCCCGTCACCTCATCACAGCTGCAAGGCAAGATGGCCTTCACTCTCTGAGAAAGGAAGGTTATTTTGACTATATATCACCCACATCAGAGGTGGTTTCCTATCCGTTCGGCCGAGTAGATAGTAACTCGGTCTGCCATGCCCCAGAACTGGTTCTCTCCATGGTGCAATAGGCACCACCATTTTGTTTTTTGCTTCTGCGCATGCCCAGAAGCATTTTTAGTACTGCGCATATGAGCATTTGGCACATCCCTGAGCGAATCGGCAGTAGCAGCAGCTGGAACCCAGCCACCCCTGACCCACCCTCTGTGTAATCCCCCCTTCCATTTTCTCACAGCAGAACATGTGGCAGGCCTGAAGGCCCAATGCAAAAGAGGCCTTCCAAGGTCTGACACTTACATTTCAATTCACGAAGTTATTTGTTTATTGGATAATACTTATCAATGGTAAAACACGATCGCATATTGCTGAAGCCTATATAGTTCGGCCCACCCTTCCATTTCTTTCTCTTCTATTCCCAAACAGAGATGGGCAGTTTACAAACTCACTGGTTGCCGAGAAGAGAGTCGCCGGTCGGGCTAAGTCATGAGGATGATGGATAGCCCCGAAAAGACTAGGACCTGGAGGTCTGCTCAGAAATTCAGGTTTCAAACCAAAATCCAACTTATGGGGGTCTGATTGCATCTGTTTCTGAAATAGGGTAAAAAAAAAATCATGAAGGTTTTTTTTTCCCAAAAGAAATAAAAAAAAGAACATACCATTAGTATTTTGGAAATCAAGGCGAGATCCGGTTCCTTTTATAAGGCATGTCTTATAGGTGCTAATATTTACAATCCCTGCTTATGAACTAGAAGGCAAGAAATTAATATTCTGGACAAAGGACATGTAGCAGGGGTATCAAACTCAAGGTCCACAGGACGGATCCTGCCCCTGGGGTGCTTAGATCTGGCCCATGGGGCCGCCCTGGAAACAATGAAGGACCAGCCTGCAGTGCCTCTGCCAGTGAAAATGAAGCTTGGGGACCTCCTGTCAACCCTGAAGTTTTCACTGGCAGAGGGCTGCAGGAGGCTGTCTCGGCTGAAAATGGAGCCCGAGTGGGCTGTACGCAGCCTCCCCGAGCTAGAATAGAATAGAATAGAATTTTATTATTTGTATGCCGCCCTTCTCCGGGAGGACTCAGGGCGGCGAACAATTCAAGAGGGAAGAAAGGGGAACATAAAAAAACGAAATACAAATAATAAAATTCTATTCTATTCTATTCTAT